AGAGAGGGAGAGAGAGAGAGAGAGAGATAGACCATAGACCAGTAAACAAAGTTTCTTCCAGGCATCTCTTCGGACCCCCCCCCCCCCCCCCGAAATTTTTTTACCGCCCCCCCCCCCCCCCCCCCCCCCGAACGAAATGAAATTTATATAATTTATATAGAAAATATATACTTGAAAATTAAATCTATTCTCGAAAACTCAATCCATTTTACGTTTGGGTATGAATGGTGAATACTACACCAAAATTGTGTGTGCAGTTTTTCAACTTACGCGGAATCATTCTTCAAATCAAAGAATTGTAATTCATCGGGAATGCTGGCAACATCAAGGGAAGAAGAGAATCGGTAACGTGTCAGTGCAGATTCTTCTTCTTTTAGCTCAGAGAAATAACGCAGCAGTTTGTTTTCAAGATATTCAAGATGCCCAGAAATCGCTTCTTTCAAAATTTTAATTATCTCACAATCAGATCCATCTACCACACTGCAGAGTTTCTCAAATTTTCAAAATATTTCCAAGATTTATTTTCTTTTCCAATTTTACAGCTTTGATAACATTGCTCCGAGATTATCATGGAAAGGCAATATTTCCAAAAAGTATTTTTCTTCGCCAAATTTGAAGTTTTGATAAAAATGCCAAGAGATTATCCTTAAAACAGATAATATTCGTTCATTTTCCCTGAAGCTTCAGGCTAAGCTTATGTTGATGTTCGAATATACCTGCTAGGTATGATTTTCCAACCACTCTATGTCGTTTTAAGCATATCAAAAGGTCTTGTTTCCTTTGCACTTCTAAGAAATTTTTTATTTCAGATTTTAATTTAAAAACACGATTCACAACATTTCGTTTGGCAGCCAGCGTACTGTAGTGTAGAAAAGCAGAACCTCGTGATCTTTATTTGTCTTTGCACAGTTCTTTGAAAGCTCCAAATTTAATATAATTTACGTCTTTTACTAGGAATATGGCTGGTAAGTTGTTCACCAACCAGTTCTACGGCTCAATAAAACTTGCATGAGCCGTAGAACTGGTTGGTGACCTACTTACCCGCCCTATTGAGTCGGAAGCGTCTTGATTTCGAAGACATACTGGTGAATCATGCAGTGGTTAGGGAGCTAAATCTTTTCTGTTTTCTGAACGCCCGATTTTGACCCAAACATAAATGGCGTACCATCCGTACAAACCCCACAGTCGTTTTAACCCATTTTAATCATCCAGTTTAAAAAAAACCGTATTTATTTTCTCCATGTTATCTTCACAAAATAGCAACACATCTTTGCTATCATCTGAATGAATATAGACAAAGACCGGCAGCAACTGCGAACACGAACTTACGTCTGTTTCTTTATCAACTTCAAGAGCAAACAATTGTGGAAGTTTGATTTCATTAAAAAATTGTTATTTAACATGTACGGAAATGTCAACTAAAAGCCGCTGAAGAGTATTATTAGGCATAGATATGCGTTGCATCTTTACTGCACTGGAATCCCCAAGAATTAACTTCACCATCTTCAACATGCAGTGTTTGATGAGATTATCTCCTATTGTGTTTTTTTTTTTTGCTTGGTATTTTCTATGATTTTCATTTGATGCTTGGACTAATGCTGTGTTTCCTTGGTGAAAACTTCCGGTTCGATCAATTCTCTGACGTTTTCAACTAGCTTCATGCCGACGAAAGAACTCCATATCTTTTTTGTTGTTTTCCGAATGACTCGTCTGGAAATGACGTTTTAGATATAAATGTTTCATAGACTCATGACTGAGAACAACTTTGCACAGTACGCGATGTTCCTTCTCTATTCCATTTGTAGTGATGTTAGTAAAGCCGAATTTCAGATATTCTTCTAAATATTTATGTTTTGTTTCTCATTGCTAAGGTTTAGTACAGGGGTCTCCAAATTTTTCAGTCCGTGGGCCGCATTAACTATCAAAGTTCAGTTCGGGGGCCAGGTTCTTTCAGGCATGTTTTTGATTTTTCTGGGTAAAGTTGCTCAGCCATCAACAACAAACGTTTTATCCGTGGACAAAAATATCTTCTCGGGCCGGATGAGAGGACATCGCGGGCCGCATCCGGCCCGCGGGCCGTATTTTGGAGACCCCTAATTTAGTATATCAGTTGGCGACCCCCCAGAAAGCCCTTCGCGACCCCCAGGTTGGGAACCCGTGGACTAAAGGAATACAGCGAGGTTAATTCTGTGCTTGAGGGAGATACTGAATGCTTAGTCTTGTGCGGATCGCATCGGGTGACACCATTTAAGGGGGTGACACCAAGGCAAAAAATAGAAAAATATATAGAGAAAAACTTGAGGGGGCGGGGGGGGGGTGCAAATCGAAAGTTTGAAAGTTTGTCCACGGGAAGGTTCGCTACGCCTCTGGTAGGGGGGGGGGGGCAGAAGCGTAGCGACAGGGGGGGGGGGCGGGGGGGGGGACATATATGTCCCCGGGCGCCGACCTTAGGGGGCGCCAAAATGGGTTGGAAAAATAAATTGAAAGGTTTAGGGGGTGGAAATCGAAAGTTTGAGGGGGATGGGGTGCAAGTCGAAAATTTGAGAGGGGGTTGCAAATGGAAAAGTTTGTCCCCGGGCGCCGGGAAGGGTCGCTACGCCTCTGGGGGGAGTGCCACCATTAAGTGCCGCACCGGGTGGCACCCGACCTCGCTACGCCACTGGGTTAGGTACTATCAGAGCTGGTTCAACTCAAGGACATACTACTCACTTTAATCTGCATTCCAACTGGAGACTTTCGGTTTAGCAGTCGCGCTCTGATGACCCATTAAATGGAATGCAATAATATGTTGATTAGTTTGAGTCATCAAATGAGTGGTGAGAACGTGGATCTTGATAGATGATCTAAATGTTGAAACGCCTACTTAAGAGATGCTAAAACCATCCGAAAGTGCAGGTAAAAATATGGCTTCCAAAGAGACTGAAGAACAATTATCATAATAGAGTACGGCACTCGAGTTTGTGGATTGTAATCTTAAAGACAGTCACAGTAGTATTGATTTTCGTCAGTTATGTTTCGGATTTTGCCTAATACTTACGGACAGATAATAAGGGATTTTAGTTAATGCATTAGTTGACGCAGAAGCGTAGCTAGGGAGGGGGGGGGGGGGGGAGGCTGCCCCGCGCGCCGACCCTAAGGGGCGCCAAAAGGGGTGGACATTTTTTTAAAACTGATTTTATGCTGCAGTTTTTAATTATAAACAGTCTAAGTTAAGAAATGTAATGGCTACAAGCCTTTACATACTTATTTAACTATTTTTTTATCTTGATAGTTTAACTGTCAAATATGTAACATTTAGAAACAGTGATCGGCAAAAACCGCTAGATATGTGTGTGTGGGAGGGGGGGGGGGGGCTTTTTCGCGACCAAAATCGTAAAAATTTAAATTAGATTGATTAGTGGTTAAACGTTACCACTTATGAAAAAACCCAATCGTATTAAAACGTATTGTACGATTTTTTAACCGTAAAAATGTTGTGACTTTTATCAAGATAGTAAAAGGGGGTGGGCGCTTTTTTTGCTAAATACAATTGCAAGGATTTACACTGGATTATTGATGAGATAACCCAGATCGCTTAGAAAAGAAACTATTTTACCAAAGTGCATGGCACGGTTAAAACCTGTTCTACGAACCTTGTCCAAGATGGTGGGGAGGAGTGTGGGGGTGGGGGCGCTTTTTCGCGAACAAAAATCGCAAGTATTTGCACTGGATTGGTTTTAACACCTAGAAATAAACTAATTATATCAAAGCGTATTGTGTAACAGTAAAATAAAAAAAAGTATGGTGGGTGGCCGTGGCACGTTTTTTTCGCCAATGTAAATGGGAAGGATTTACACCGGAACGGTGATTAGATAAATCGTATTACACTAAGACTAAGAGTATAAACCATTTGTATTAGTGCGTAATGTACAATTTCACTAGCCAGTTTTGTTAAGATATGACTCGAATAGTTCTTTGTAAGATTCTTACGATTCGCTCGACTTCAACATGAAAGATCAGATACTTTTATTTGATTGCATTACATCTTTCCTGGGTCACTGTAGTAAAGAGAATTAAATATCACGGATTCTTGAATCGCTATCCGATTATTAAAATAGCATGCAGTTGGAGCGGTTGGGTGGAAGACAATACTCTTGCCGAAATTTTAAGAGCTAAAAAATAGTATATTGTACAGAATTGATAATTTTTTGATTACTTTTTTCATCATCATTCCTTTGTGGCTGCAAGGGAGCAAAGGCAAGTCATAATACTGCAATTTTCATATAGTTAAAGCCACTAGACTTACTAAACGATGTAAAAATGGTACAAAACGATGACTGCTAATGCTTTATTACTTTGTTCAACCTAAATGATAATTTAAAAGTGTAATACACTATTATAGGAATTGTTAAAAAGACAAGGCAAAAAGTAGACCAAATATGCTTGCACCTTTTACAAAGTACACGCTAGTCTAAAGCAGTGTTTTTTAACCTTTTTGGAGGTACCGAACCCTACCAATTTCATATGCGCCTTCACCGAACCCTTCTTAATAGTTTTATCGTCCAGATAAAATCTTGAAACCTACGAGTCGGGTGTGCGCCATGACCTCCGCCAAAGCACTGAGACTGACTTACCGAACCTCTTGTGTTCGATAGAACAGGTATTAAGAACCACTGATCGAAACTTTTGTGATTTCTTCTTTTTATTCGTTTCGGTTTCATCAAGAGCATACGCGTAGGCAACACTTCGTTTACTATTTAAAGTGTATAAACATATTTTCTGTTTCAGTCTGACGTGAATAAATCTTTAGGCCCACCAGAACGTGCTCTTGGGATCACACTTAATCAACTGACTGTAAAAACGATGGGGGGGGGGGGGGGGAATGTGTGTCATAAGCCCTACTCTAACCAGATTTAAAAAAAACAAACTAGAAATGTATAGCATAGCCTACATGTCGTAAATGTAAAAGCGGTGTAGTTTGGGAACTCTTGTCTTCAAGGGAGATTACTCTAATAATATATTCAAGATGGGGACCCAAGTTTTGTATCTCAAACGACAAACATCGCAAAAAAGTTCATTTTAGGAGTGTTTTAAGATCATTTACGAATTACAACATCAGATAACAAAGGTCTAATGTTACTACAGCTTACACACGTGAACAAGTGAATAGCCGCATAGCCATAGGCCTATTTGGTGTTAAACATTTTGGAGAAAAATATTTTATAAAATTTAAATAGGCCCTAGTACTACTACTACTAGTACTAGTAAATAAATAGATTCTAGATCTAGAATTCTAGATCTAGATCTAGTTGTTAGCCCTATTGGTCAAAGCTAGTGACAAAGCAAAGAAATAACCAAATACTGAAATAGCTAAAAATACAGCACAAGAAATAACCAAATACTGAAATAGCTAAAAATACAGCACATTTAAAATAACACACACGTGAACTAGTCAATAGCTGCATAGCCATAGGCCTAAATTGATGTTAAACATGTTGGAGAAAAATATTTTATAAAAAAGTTAGATCTAGAATCTAGATCTAGAATTCTAGTCTAGATCTAGTTGTTAGCCCTATTGGTCAAAACTAGTGACAAAGCAAAGAAATAACCAAATAGCTAAAAATCCGGCACATTTAAAATAACAACGGCTACCAATACTTAGGCCATGAATATTATTATTAATAATTTATTAATAATAATATATAATATTATGGCCTAAATGCCAAATGGACACCAGTGAGTTGACGAAAAATTGACAAAAATCCTTCCGTAATGTTGTTGACATGGAATACAAATGTGCTTTTTTAGTTTTAGGACCGTAAAAATAATAAAAGATAGGCTAAAATTTTATAAAAAACTTAAGCCTAAAATTAATTCAGAAATTTAATATTTTTGAAGCAATGCTATACAAGTTGCAGATCCAGAGAACTTGAAAATAATGTGTTGAGTTTAAGGCTACATTTCAATTTATTTTCTCAAGCCTAAGTTATAACCCGATGTTTCACTTTCGTAAGACAAACATTGATTGGCTGTTCAGGAACTCCGTGATCGATTTCTGACAGCCCCACTTTATAGTTTTTTTGTTTACAAAACTTTGCAGATCAAGTTTTTAAATAACAATGCAAATTTAAACAACATGACCTAGTTTTTCTTTTTTTAGCTTACAATGTGTGCAATAAAATTTATGGTGGCCTATCGAATAACAGGATGCCATTGTTTAGGTCGCCATTACACATGAAAACCAAATTGTTTTTGCTTTTTTTAAATTTTTATTTAGTTACCGAAAATATTAAAAGCATCAGATACATCCAATCTTTAGTTAAGTCCAAAAAAAACCAGACAGGCAGGATTATTTACATTATTTGTCAACACAACACCATATTAAATGAACACACTGATTAAGTCTGATTAAGAGAATTAAATTGTTTCTTTAAGTAATTTGTATTACTTTTAGGCGATAAAATTGTATACATTTCATAGCGTACGTCCCCATAAGTAGATCTATAGATCTAAATCAAATTTGAATGAAATAGTTCATTTATTTATATTCTAAAATTGGAAGATGATGCCATTAGTTTTAAACTGTTTTGTGTTCTTTCCAAAGTTTAAAGATGTCACATGTGAAGTCATTGTTTATTTCATTCTTTTCACAACAATAAATGCTTTTCCGGTTGCATTATTAAAATTGTGTTTCTACATTCGAATATGCCTTAAATTTTATTTCCCTTCTTTAAATAAAATTTAGATAATACATTTATAACATCCACCATATATTATTTTCAACAAAAGCCAGTATCTTCAAGTTTTCCATATTTAGCTGAACATTCTGATCACAATCGCCTATAAAAACTTGCTGACAGAGAGAGAGAGAGAGAGAGAGAGAGAGAGAGAGAGAAGTGTGCATATGGACTTTTATATATTAAGATTAATATATAGATCTAGAGGTAATCTATCGTTTTAGCTGCGTAAAATCCGCGAGGCTGGTAATGTGAAAAAAAGTTGCCTCATTGTTAAGGCTTTAATAGATGTATATTATGATATATTTTTGTCAAATATTATAGATAACTGAATAATAAAGCAATAGCTAAATATATCAATATAGGTCAGAAATTAACTTTAAACAGCAGTGTTTGCGAGCAAGATTTGCTATATAAACAGCGGCCACCTGTATATTAGAGTGGTTTCCCCTGAATCTCTAATTATAATTTAGCCAAAAAATTTAAACAGGATGATTGCTAAAACAATTGAGCTTGGTTGCATTGGATGTAAACATTGCTAGATCTAGTCTTTATTTATTACTGAAAAGTTTTAATACATTTATTTACAGTTACATGAAACTTTGAAACATTTATGTAGCTTTCAAAACTTAAATCCTCCTAAAAATGTGAAATCATAAATTTAATAAGTCAACTTTTTTTCACATTACTAGTCTTGGCTGATTTTACGTACCTTAAACAATAGATTACCATTAAATATAGAAATTTTAGAAATTTTACACTTCACAGTAAAAAGAATTTGGTATAGACTATTATAGAGTACTATAGAGATCTAGATCTAGAAAACTAGATCCTAGTCTATACGTCTAGAGTTTGTTTCATGACATTGTGATTTAATAGGCCTATAGTTAGAAATTCAAATTAGGGTCAGGGCGTAGGCATATGGACTATGGTAGGTACTAGATCTAGGTAGGGTAAGAATTTCTGTCACATTACTAAATTAAAATAATTACTATATCTAGTACTAGCTGTGGCCTATTTTAAAATAATTTTTAGTACATAAAACTAAGATTGATAGTTATTATTTTTATTATTAGATTAGAATCTACCTTTAAATATGTAAATATAGGTTTTTAGGTAGGTAATAGACTTATAGATTTACAATATTTTATAACAAAGATCCGAAAATATTCAAAATATACTTACTTTAGGCCTATTAATATTATTAATTAATATTAATGCTTCTTTATCAACTCATAGCCCTTCTTCAAAATCTCATCAAGGCTTATTAATTTAAAATTAAAAAATTATTAAATAACAGGACTATTAATAATTAACTAGACTTACCCGGTCATCACTTGGATAACTGTAGGTTTTGGGGGTCATCCATAACATTACGTCTGTCATTTATCATCATAAAATAACCAGACCCCACATTCAAAAAGACGTTTTTTATCTTTTAAAACACCGATTTCAGCTGAGCATAGGTCTGACCACACTATCCTTTCATATATGATATCACAGGTGACCTACTCAACTCTACTTCAGTGTCCCGCCAAGTCTCAGACAACATGTTTTTATTGTTTAAATAAAAACGAATCTCGTCGAACATGTCTCTGACAACACTATGCCTTCATATGCTTAGGACAAAGAAACAGATGAACTCTACTTCATCTGCCCTGTATCCCGCCAAGTTCAGATAGTCAAATTTATCATTAACATCTATAAAAAAAAATTGAAAAAAAAAATATGAAGTATGAAAATTACATTTTTGAGTATTTTATCTCTAAACCATATGAGTTTGTGGGCATTAAGCTTTCCATTGGTACTAAATTTATGAATCTCGCTTTATTAGGAGAAGAGGAATTTTTTTCTTCTATTTAATATAGGTTGAACTAAAAGAGCAAGGGTCTAAGGTCTCTTACATCTATATAAATTCTAAAAAAAAAAATGAAGCAAGTGTAAAGTTAAGACATAAATATTTAAACATTTTTATAAATGCAATCAATATATTTTCAAATACTATTTTTAATTTGGTTTTCTAATCAAGATTATTTTCATTTCAGTTTTTTCTGCAACAATTCATCAATCTAAAGCTATGGAAAACACAAAGGACACTAATGGTATAGTTTGGGAGAGTTCAATTATACTTAAACAGGAAGTGAGTGATGAAATCATAAAGTTTATGGACATGAAATCAGATGAAACATCAGCTATTTCAAGTTCAGAAGGAGTACAAACAAATATATCAACACTCTTTTCAAATTCTGAAGATATAAAGCAAAGTGTATCAAAACAATTTTCAACTGTTGAAGACAAATACTTGGAGGAAACAATGCCATTTTTAGCTTTAGAAGATAAAAATCTTGATAAAACAAAGCCTTTGTTTAATTTAGAAGAGATGAAACAAGATAACCCAACATTATTTTCATCTTCTGAAGACATGAAACCAAATCTATCAACAGCATTTTCAATTTTTGAAGATAAGAAACCTGAGATATTAACAATTTCATCTTTGGAGAGTGAACAACAAAATGGTTTCAAAGCACAGCAACAACTTTCTTCCCCACCAGATTCAACTGATTTTAAAGAAAATTTCGCAGTTCTGAAATCAGATCTTCAAAATGAATTAAAAGAACTCAAGTTATTACATACAAAATTGATTGATAATCTCCCAAAAGAATATCTGATTAGCAATAAGGGACTGAAGACATACAAGTGTGATATGTGTTGTCAAAGATTTTTCCATTTTGATCATGTTAAACAACACATAAACATTCACACAAGGGTGAATCCATATGGTCATGATTTTCGTCAGCAAGAAGTTGTTATGATCAGTCAGGGTGAACAGATTAACAAAACAAACCTAGAACAGGTATACAATAAGTCTAGTTTGTCTAAAAAGTTCACTACAGAGTCTAGTTTATCCACACACACAAATATTCATTCTGGAATTAAGCCATATGAATGCTATGTTTGTCATAAAAAGTTTGCAAAGAAGAGAAATTTATCTAGACATAAAATAACTATCCATTCTAGTTTCAAGCCACATGAATGCGATGTTTGTCATAAAAGTTTTGCCCTTATTTCTAATTTATCTAGACATAAAAATATTCATTTACATAAGAGACCATATGAATGTGATGTGTGTCACAAAAAATTTAATCATGAAGATCAATTATCTAGACATAAAAATATTCATTTACCACAGAGACCATATGAATGTGATGTGTGTCACAAAAAATTTAATCAAAAAAGTAATTTATCTAGACATAAAAATATTCATTTACCAGAGAGACTATATGAATGTGATGTGTGTCATAAAAAATTTAATTGTAAAGATAATTTATCTACACATAAAAATGTTCATTTACCAGAGAGACCATATGAATGTTATGTGTGTCACAAAAAATTTAATCTAAAAAGTCATTTATCTACAAATAAAAATATACATTTACCAGAGAGACCATATGAATGTTATGTGTGTCATAAAAAATTTAATTATAAAGGTGATTTATCAGAGCATAAAAATATTCATTTACCAGATAGACCATATGAATGTGATGTGTGTCACAAAAAATTTAATCAAAAAAGTAATTTATCTACACATAAAAATATTCATTTACCAGAGAGACCATATGAATGTGATGTGTGTCATAAAAAATTTAATCGTAAAGGTCATTTATCTACACATAAAAATATTCATTTACCAGAGAGACCATATGAATGTGATGTGTGTCACAAAAAATTTAATTTTAAAGATAGTTTATCTAAGCATAAAAATATTCATTTACCAGAGAGACTATATGAATGTGATGTGTGTCATAAAAAATTTAATTGTAAAGATAATTTATCTACACATAAAAATGTTCATTTACCAGAGAGACCATATGAATTTGACATTTATCACAAACGTTTCCTCTAAATCTAGTTTATCTATGCACTCAGGACTTGAATGTGTTGTTGGTCATTAAATTCTCTTTCACAAAGATCTTTAATTATCTATACGAGCCGACCCGCGGCGTATCATACGCCGCTATTTACTTGATTTATTTTCTACTTTCAGTAATTCATAATTTGTGAATTCGACAGTACCAATGCTGCCACTGAAAATATTTGCTTTAAAACACTAACCCCCCTCCTTTCCCCTAACACCGACCCTACACCCCCCCCCCCCCGTGAAAGCAGCCTCCTCTTAGTTACCTCCTGTAAGTTTAAAGTCGGTTCAAACTTAATTATCTGCCCCTAATAGCCGTCACTAAACCTGGCTGTACGGTTTGTAAACATTAACGTGACCACAGCTCAGCAGACCATGTGGGGGTGGGGTAGGGTGGTAGTGATAGTGATAAAGAGAAAGAGAGGGGACTGTAAGGAGGCGCTTGCAGCTTGTTTTCTAACGGCTCGCAGAGGAGAATTATATATATAGATATAAAATTATTGCTTTTTTTTTTTTACTAATACCACATTGCGTAGGCTGAAAACACACCATTAATGTTTGTCATACAGGATATAATACTCTTCATAATATTATTTGTCATACAAAGTATTACAAATGATTAATATTCTAACTAGACTATTCACACAAAGGAAGAAAAACTACATGGAAAGAATTGGTGTCATGAATCTCCATAGCACATTTATTATCTAGTACAAGTTGTTATGGCTAACTTTGTTTCGGTTTTTTGGAAAATATGATGGCTAAATTCTTATCCTTTACATTACCCATAAAACAATACTAACCACTAATAAACACCAACATTTTAAATGTACAATTATAATTTGAATCATTGAAGTAATACTTACTCTATATTTTTCTATATTGAATATAATTCATTATATGCAATTTTAAATTTTGTATAACTAATTATTTAACCCATTAAGTTGATCATAATTATGATAATTGAAGTGAGCAACAAAATGTATTAAGTAATGTAGCTGAAAATGATTAAATTTTTAAGACATAAGATACAATTTATTATTATGATTATTATTGATGTTTAATTTATCTTTTTTTAAAAGACATAATAAATATTTTCAGCTATTAATTAATCAGAAAGTGTTAATTCCGTTTTTTAGGGTTATTATGATTGGATAGGCTGTTATGATATATAGATCTAGACCAATATATATATATATATATATTTATATATATATATATATATATATATATATATATATATATATATATATATGTATATATATAAATATATATATATATATATATATATATATATATATATATATATATATATATATATATATATATATATATATATATATATATATATATATATATATATATATATATATATATATATATATATATGAATATATGTGGGTTTGTTTGTTGATTTGTCCTTATGTCATTACTACACCTTTCACCTATCGCCATCACACTTTGGGGAGTTGCTGAATAGGTTTCTTTCTGTGTTGAAAGGGGTGGGGGGGGAAGAAGATTCAATGTCACAAGGGCGGCGCACCGGCAAAGTTCGATGCGATTTGTCTCTATAATACGGTATATAAAAAGTCTTGATGCGGTTAGACACCGTTCATCCTAGTGCCATAAAACTCTGGGGAGTAAAACTGCAACAGGCGCAGCTCACTAAATTAAATCAGGCGCAAAGGCGCCTACGTTCGTGCGATGTATAAATTGGGGTATTATAGTATTTTATCGAATGATATTGTTTGCTAAACTTTGCAATGACTCTTTCGCGATTAAAAAAATATAGTTCGGCCAATTCCAATTGAATAAAATGTGAACGATTGTCCAGTTAAGTCTGTAGAGCATTGGGGTCGCGAAGGGCTTTCTGGGGGGTCGCGAACTGGTAGACTAAACCCTAGCAATGAAAAAAAAAACAACAACAAATATTTAGAAATTAGAAGAATATCTGAAATTCAGCTTTACTAACATCTCAGGAAATGAAATTAAGAAAAACAATGCGTAACGTGCAAAGTTGATCTCAGCCATGGGTCTATGAAACCTTCAAAACTTAAACGTCATTTTGAGACGAATCATTCGGTACACCAAAAAGACATGGAGCTCTTTTGTCGGCATGAAGTTAGCAGTGTTTCTTCCAGACTTTTTTCTCCGGGGGGTGGGGGCGAACTGGAAGAAACTCTGGAAGTTAGTTGCAAATGTCAGAGACTTAATCGAACATGTTTTCAAGAATGAAACACAGCATTAGTGAAATCATACAATGAAGTCGCGATAGAAATTGCCAAGCAAAAAAAAAAAACAAAAAAAAAAAAAACAATAGGACAAAATTTCATCAAACCCTGCATGTTGAAGATGGTGAAATTAATTCTTGAAGGTTCCAGTGCAATAAAGATGCAACAAGTATCTCTGTATAATAATACTATTCAACGGCTTATAGCAGCTATTTCCATGGATAGTTAAAGAACAAATTTTGAATGAAATCAAGCTTTCACCATTGTTTGATTTTCAAGTTGATGAATAAACAGACGTAAGTTCGTATTCGCAGTTGCTTGTCTTTGTAAAATATATTCGTTCAAATTATAGGAGAGAAGAGTTGCTTTTTAGTGAAAATATCATGGAGAGAATAAATACGTTTTTTTGAAGCTTGATGATAAAAGATTTAGCTGCCTAACCCACGGGAAATCTACTGCATGATTCACCGGTATGCCCTCGCCAGTAAGACTCTTCCGACATCATTGCTAATAAACGTCGTAAATTATAATAATAAATCCGGAGTCCTAAACACACGTCTGTTTAAAGAACGGTGCAAAGAAATGATAAAAATCACGAAGTTCTGCTTTTCTTCACTACAGTACGTTGGCTGTCAAAAGAAAATATTGTGAATCACGTTTTTGAATTGAAAGATAAAATAAATAATACTTATAGGCTAGAGGATACAACACTGAACATTATATTATTGGAGTGATTGTATAATTGTGTTGATCTTGATGTTTTTCGGCCCGCTGTGTGTACGTGTTGCGTCTGTTCTGCAAAAAATTCATAAAAAACGTTTTAATAACAAGCTTTTATGTAATAATGCACTAAAAAGTAGAAAATAAATTATAGACTACTATTTAAATAACTATAAAGAAAAGCGTGGGTCACTTTGGTACTTTACTACCTATTGGATACCTTTACCAATATTTGAGAAGAGACCCACGCTTTTCTTTATAGTAATTTAAATAGTAGTGTATAATTTATTTTCTACTTTTTAGTGCATTATTACATAAAAGCTTGTTATTAAAACGTTTTTTATGAATTTTTTTTCAGTACTTTACATGTTTTATTTACAATAGAGTTACATGACTAAAAACCATTGCGCGCCTAGCGCAGCCATTGAACGTGATTGCGCAGCTATTGAACGTGATGAAGCGTGTGGTGTGGTTGGATAGACATGCCTACTAATTCGGTCCAAATTTTATTTAATTCTTAAAAAATTAATTAGGCATCCAATTGAGTCAAATTTAATTTCAGATTGAATTGTCTTCATGTCTTGACCCACGTGCCAAGTGTGAATCGTATCGGTCAAGTAGAAGTTTCCGAATTTTCACTCCGGCGTTTCAGTCTAGACAGACTGACGACTGACGACAAAGGAAGTGAGTTAAATAAAAGCTTTATTATCTAAAATTTCGTTGCCGCGGGGTAGAAATAAGTTTGACGAAATGTATTAGGATTTCAGCAACGCGTTACCAATTATATGTTCTAAGACGCGTGACCGTCTTTTCTAAAAGTGAGTTATTTAAATGTAAACAATGCCTGCGCTTAAATCATAAATATCGGGACACAGGTTTACCTACACTACCGTATGTTAACATTGAGTGTACATTAATCACTCACCGAAATAATGTTAGAACACACTTCGGTGACCGCCCATGTGTCAGAGACGCACATGGGCGCTCTCAGGGCCCCCACCCCCACGATTAGACTAGGCTGTTGCTCGTAATTTTTAAACTCCACTAATTTCAAGTAAAATTATACCACAAAAAAACAGGATTTTTTTCCCTACACATTGATACCAATTTTGTGTCTCTAGCTTAATTAGGAGCTAAGATATGGCCTTTTAAAAATTTGTGGGCGTGGCTAAAACAGCTTGGACCTTCGTCATTCAAGTCTATGTTACGCAAGAAAAAAAGTTGGCACCGATGGTTTTTTCATTGCATCATCACGGATTCGCATTTTTCGAAAAATTAAAAAATTATAATTTTATTGCATCATCCGGGATTCGCATTTTATTAAAAACTAAAAAATTATAATCAAGCTTAAAGTCTAAGTTATACTGGACTGGATGTGATTTGAATGAGTAATAATTATTTAATGCCATTCATATATTGACTTATTACTTGTGTAAAAAAAAATAATGTAGATCTACTCTAGGTTTAAACTAAACTAGATCTAGTTATTGTAAATCGATTTATTAATATTTAATACTGTTACTACTATTATTATATAATAGAAATGCATAAGCACATATTACTGCACAAGTTCTTTATATCTAATTGTAATGAACGATATTACTTGGGTAGATGAAGTAGAGTAGACCTACATACACACACACTACATGATAAATGGAAGTAGCAACTGGTTGCCTTTACGTTACTTTCTCAGCCCCCCCCCCCCCCCACTTACTTGATATTCAGTGTCTATATCAGGAGGCCATAATAAAATTATAGAACAAAATAAAAATAAGAAAACAGCTGTCAAAGTGTGTACCAGTGTTTATTACTACTAAACTATGCAATGTAAATTATTAGAATGTGAGAAACACAGTATTAAAATACAGTAATCAGATTACCACATGAATTTTAATTTTGTCTAATAAGATAGAAACATTTAGGAGAATGGCAAAGTAAAAAAAAAAAGATTATTTGCAATAATTTAAAAGTATGATTATCAGAGCAAAGAAATAAACTACATAGTGACAACCTAAATTTAGCCCTTGTATAATCTACGACCATCACAGTACTGTAAAACAGTTACATAATCATAATTAGTGTGAAGAAACAAATCTACAGTACTAGAAATGAGCCTCGTCTCATTACGATCTCTTAAGAAGAAAAGTAGTATTAATTATCAAGGAATAAACATTAAAATATTGGTTTAAAATATAATTACTAGTAAATCTAACCATTCATTGAATGTATGCTGGAAAAAAAATAGGCGTCGAAAAATTTCTTGGACCACTTTAGTCTCTTTAGTGTTAAAACAATTTTCTAAAGTATCAATTATAATTAATCTTTAGATACAATTAGCACATCTGAGGAAAAAAAATATATTTTAAAAAGCGTTAGTACTTGTGTGATAAATTAGTTTGGACCAACATTCTTGAAGCACATTAACTACTGATTCTAGGATTATCTAGCTGATTTCAATTACCCTGAAAAATGAGTTAAGTAATTAATTAAAATGTAATTTTTTTTTACACTATGAAAACTAAACTTAATTATAAACATTGTTAGTATTAGTTTTCAAAATAAGTTTACAATTCACAGCAATCATTTTTTCAGTAACAATTTACAAAAACACTAATGTTTAAAAAATAAAGTTCATTTGTATACTAAAAATGAAAGAAGTACTCTGAAATTCTGATTAGCTATTTTTCAGAACGTAAAACAAGATTCCTACAAAGTCAACAACTGGTGATTCTGCCAGATGACCGAAATCCTCAGCATTATCCTCATCCTCTGCCTAGTAGCTTATGGTGTAAAGAGCAGACTTTTATTTTGTTGCTGGCACCCTTTTAATAGTCCTTCCACTGTATTGCCTTGCTCCCACTTATGAGTCAACATATTGCAAAGTAAATAAAATAAGTA